AGTATTCCTCCATTCTTATTTCTTATGACAATTTCCTCAGGGATAGTCATCCTCACTCTTCTTATAAAGTTTGATATCTGTTTTGAATTTATAGTTAGGACCGGTGTTTCATAATATCATTGACATTTTGCTTTGTTTCTAAAACCATTTTCATTAAACATGTTTGAAATTTATCCTATGCATGCTACAGTTCTTGAGGCTCATAACCCAAATTTTTATGTAAGCCCCCAAAGAATATTTTCTCTCTCATTGATGTTTCCATTTCTCTCCTCACTTCTTCATCCCCTTTGAATCTCCTTTCACTGTTTTCCCATTCTTCTCACTTTTTCTACTTTGTCTCACTCCTTTTTCATCTAAAATTTTCTCTCTCTCTTTTTTTTTTTTTTTTTTTTTTTTTTATTTTTTATTTTTCTTTTTTTTTTTTTTCTTTTTTTTTTTTTTTTTTTTTTTTACACAGGGTTTGACAAGGTTAAGGATCCCTAGCTTTATTGACAAGCTATTTACAGGTTAAGGATTCCTAACATTATTGGCAAGCTAAGAGCTGTTACCTACATCAGCTCATTTGAAAGCATTTTTATTGTTATGAGACGTACAAGTAGGGAACAGGATGAAGTTGGAGCCATCTGTGGGCCAGCATTTTCATGTGATCAACTGATTTTATCTCGTTGACATCATTATGCTGTACGAATGTGTTCCATACTTTAGTCATCCTGGGTATCTATGATCTCAGATGGAATGATGTTCTGGAGAAGGGTACAGCCAGAGTGAAGTTGCTGCTTTCTGCCCGTCTTGTGGCATAAAAGCTTGTTTCACGCTGTCCTCGAAGTGGATCCAAGTGTGGTACTTTGACAATATTGGCCTTGTACATAACAGTAAGGCCACCCACATCCCTCCTATGTTGAAGGCTCTGCTGAAATGACAGATCTATCCAGGATGGGTCCAGGCGAGAGATGAGACGTCTTGCTCTGTTCTCTACTCTGTCAAGCAGTCGCAGATGAGAGGGGGAGCAGGCAAACCAAGAAAGTGGAGCATACTCAAGGTGTGAGCGTACTTGTGCCTCGTACAGAATCTTGCAACCCCTACTGTCAAGCAGATGCGAGACACAGCAAAGTGCTGTAAGCTTCCTGGCTGCCTTGTTTGCAAGATTTACAACATGGTTCTTCATGGTTAGTTTGGAGTCAAATATCACCCCAAGGATATCACTTCTTCTCCAGGTGCCAACACCCTCCCATTCATCCTTACTACTGCACCAGCATTACCATCATGGTGCCTAGAGACGATCATCATTTGCGTTTTCTCAGGTGCAAATGTTACTTGCCATCTATTTCTCCAAGCTGATATAGCTCTCAGCTGGTGATTGATGTAGCTTAGAGCAGCTGGCATTTCTTCTCTTGGATAAGTGAATGTCAGTGTACAGTCATCTGCATATGCATGTGATTCTGGGATGAGATGAAGAAGGTCGTTGAAGTAGACATTCCATAACAATGGTCCCAGTACGCTTCCTTGCGGAACACTTGCTGATTCCGCTCCAGTGAGAACTACACTTAGAGATCTACCATGAAGGTAATCACTGAGGAGACATAACGTAGAGCCTGCAATTCCCAGTGCTTGAAGTTTTGCTAAGAGGCCCTGGTGTCACACCCGGTCGAAAGCGCCAGCAATGTCCAGTGCTACCACACAGCTGACTTTGGATTCATCCAGTGACTGGTGTTTAATTAGACACATGTGCAACTCTTGGGTATCTTTATTGAGGAAACGTTTCGCCACACAGTGGCTTCATTAGTCCATACAAAGGAGAAACTTGAAGAACAGGAGGAGAATGAGGTCATCAGTCCCTCAACATTAGGGACCCCAGCATCAGTAATGTTGATCTACATGAGGGACCCCAGCATCAGTAATGTTGATCTACATGAGGGACCCCAGCATCAGTAATGTTGATCTACATGAGGGACCCCAGCATCAGTAATGTTGATCTACATGAGGGACCCCAGCATCAGTAATGTTGATCTTCATGAGGGACCCGGGCATCAGTAATGTTGATCTACATGAGGGACCCCAGCATCAGTAATGTTGATCTACATGAGGGACCCCAGCATCAGTAATGTTGATCTTCATGAGGGACCCGGGCATCAGTAATGTTTATCTACATGAGGGACCCCAGCATCAGTAATGTTGATCTACATGAGGGACCCCAGTGCTAGTAATGTTGATCAGCATGGTGGCCACTTAAAGTCAAAACATTAAAGAGTTTTCATGTGAATAGTGAGATGCTAGTTAGGGTATGTAGGAGAGAGAGAGAATGAGACAGAGAGAGAGAAAGAGAGAGAATGAGAATGAGAATTATTTTCCAGTTAAAGTAGGCCTTAGACAGATGTGTGTGATGGCACCATGGTTATTTAGCATTTTTTAAGATAGGGATGTAAAAGGAATAAATGCTGGGATATTGGGAAGAGGTGTAGGATTGAAAGATAGTGACTTTGGTATGGAGTGGGAGTTGTCACAGTTGCTTTTTTCTAGTGACCTAGTTGTGTTGGGAGATTCAAAAGGGAAGTTGCAAGGGTTGGTCAACAAATTTGGAAGGGTTTGTAAAAGAAGGAAATTAAATAAAAACATAGGATAGAGCAAGGTGATGAAAATTTAGGCAGTGAGAAGTTGGATATTTAATTGAAAGGAGGGAGTATGAAGGAAGTGTTTACATATTTGTGAATGGATTTGTCAGCAAATGGGGTGATGATTTGAGGTGAACCATAGAACTGATGACGAGAAAAAGGTGGGTGGCATATTGTATCATCTATTGAGACAAAGAGCTTAATCCATGTATGCAAAAAGAAGAATGAATCAGAGTAAAGTGGCACCAACAATTTTGTATGGGTGTGAATCAAGGGTTGTGAATGTTGCAGCAAGGAGGAGGCTGGAGGCAGTGGAGATATGTTTAAGGGCATATGTAGTGTGAATATTATTCAGATTTTGAGATTAGGAGGTGTGGAGTTTCCAGAAATATTATTCAGAGGGCTGAGGGGTGTTGAGGTAACTTGGACATTCAGAGAGGATGGAGCAAAATAGGATGACTGGGAGAGCATATATATCTGGGGTGGAGGAAGGAAGGGTAGGGGTTGTCCTAGGAAAGGTTAGAGAGAGGGGGCTAAAGGAGGTTATGAGTGCTAGGGGCATGGATATCCAACAAGCTTGTGTGAGTATTTTAGACAGGAGTGGAGTCATGTGGTTTTTATGATTTGATATGTTGTAGAAATGTGAGCAAGGTAACATTTATGAAGAGATTCAGAGAAATTGGTTAGCCAGACTTGAATCCTTGAGTCAGGAAATACAATGCCTGCACTCTGAAGGAGGGGGGCGTTGTTGCAGTTTAACCCTTTCAGGGTCCGTGCCATAGATCTACGGCTTTATGTTCAGGGTCCAAACCATAGATCTACGCCATGAACTCAGCTCACTCTGATAAGCTGTGAGTGGTAAATTTGGGCCTAGATATGAGAGAATACATCTATGTGGTATGTGTGCACACATAAAACAAATCCTGCAGCACACAGTGTATAATGAGAGAAAAAAAACTGAGACCGTGATTTTCGATTAAAACAGTGATTTTGCAGTGTTTTTCGTATGTTTTTTATAGTTGTATTTCCGATTTCTTGGTCTCATTTGATAGAATGGAAGACATATTACAGAAATAGAGATCATTTTGATTGGTGTTAGCACTGGAAATGGCTTGAAATTGAGCTCAAAGTGGCGGAAATGTTAAATTTTTGCCGATGTTCAAGAGTAAACAAACGACCTCACACGTCTAATACACGCCAGCTGGTGGGTCTAATATACATTCACAAATGTGGTGATGATATTTATACAATTATTACAATATTGCATAGCAGTAAATCTTCTATTTTTTGGTGTGAATAAAAAATCAAAATGGAATTCATTTGTAAAGCCTCAAAATGTAACTAATGAACAGAGGAAATGTTAGTTTAGTGCCAGGGATACCTACATTGTTTATTTTGGACCCTATTTTGAAATTGGAATATTTTGAACTTTGTGTTAAATTGGCCAAATTACCAATTTCTGATCACTTTATTTTGTAGTTGAAACAGTTGAATTGGTGATTTCTTGTGCGCAATCGATAGAATAGAAGTAATACTAGTGAAATAGCTAAGAATATAGTCGACTGGAATAATGTAATTGACCTAAAATGGGAGTCAAAGTCGGCAAAATCACCGATTTGTAAATATCGCTGACACATCAAAATTTGCGAGAGCATAATTTCATAAATTTTCCATCAAATTTCATACTTTTTGTTTTATTACCTTCAGAAAAAGATTCCTTACCATTTCATAAGAAAAAATAACTAAATTTTTTTTTTTAAATTCTTGGACCCTGATGTGCACTTTGAAATTTGGCCTCTGGACCCTGAGAGGGTTAAAGGGTCCTTTGAACTGTGATGTTAGCATGCTGCTATCAAGATAGTGATTAAATTAAATGAGTGATAATGAAAGTTTTCATCTTTCTTGGGTCGCCCTACTTTGGTGGGAGACGGCTGGAGTGTTAAAAAAAAAATAAGAGCAGGTTTCAGACAGTGCCTGTGATTCTGATCAATTTCTCTGATATTAAATCTCGCATACATGAAGTTCTTGAAATGGTTTTTTTGAGGTCCAGTATATAATGCAGAAATTAGTAATTTGTGTCTTTTTGACATGTGGACTGGTGTTCCTGGATATGTTCTTCCAGTGTTCTAGAACTCTTCCCTTACATACAGTTTGTTGCTTCCACTATTTTTTTTTTTTTTTTTTTTTTTTGTAATGTATGTATTTCATAGTTAACTACTTCTGGAAAAGTGGAGAAGGATCCTTCCTCCATAAGCCATGTGTGTCATAAGAGGTGGCTAAAATGCTGGGAGCAATGGGCTAGTAACCCCTTCTCCTAATGACAGCAGCAGTTAGCTTTTCCATGGTTGAACGGTCCTGTTTCACAATCCTGCATTTGGCTGTTACCCATAGATTATCAATTGGGTTGAGGTCAGAAGAGTTTCCAGGCCATTTTACAATGCTTAGCCCACTCCCTTCAAAGACTGTCAGCAATTTTTGGAAGTGTGGCATGGAGCAAGATCCTGCAGGAAAATGCCTTCTCCATCAGAAAGTCTGTATCCACAATGGGAAGGGAATGCCATGATTGCCTTGTATTTGTCACTGTTCATCATTCCCTCAGCAGTAACAAGCCATCCAGGGCCTTTATCAGTAAAACTACCCCAAAACATCTTCTTAGGTGGGTGTTTTGTCGCTTCATGAATGTGTTCATTCCAAAGAGGTTCGCCTTTGCTCTGTCTGACTTCCACTGATATGTACCCATGTACTTCAAAATGCACCTCATATGACTGCATGTCTACAGCAACCATTATTTCTTCATAACAGTAGTCAATAACTGTTTCTTTACTGGCTTTCTCGCAGTTCTGTTAACTTCAAAGAGCCTTTGTCAAACAGTTAAAGAGTCAGCACTTAAACCAACTGAAGCCAAATATCCCTGTAAATCTGTGCTAGTTTTCTTTGGATCCTTCACACTATTTCTTATGATGACCTTGTAACTGTGAGGTGTTGGCTTGCATTTTCTTCCACATCTTCCTTAACACAGCACTCCACAGTGTTGTCAGCTCTCTTCAGATTCTGACCAAGAGTTGACTTTGCTAGGTAAATTTTTAGAAATCTGTCTGATATTCAAATTAGCATGTTTTCTAAGAGCTACAATACTTGCACACTTCTTAGGTTTATCATCCATCATGAATTTCAGCAGTAATCATGAACTGAAGGGGAGAACTTGGTGAAATCATTTTGGCTCATGGAGCATGCTTGCAGGGATAATAGCCTTACAGAACAGCAGCTGTTGTAGCACTGACAAGAGTCATTTGGCAACACTAAGTGCTGGATGGTTGCCAGAAATCAGTAGCAAACTCTTCTGAAAAGAAAAGAACTCAAACTACATTAAGCTGGAGATTAAGACATATTATGAGATAATAACAAAGTTTACTCCTATGTCAATTAATGTAAACACTACTGTAGTAGCCTCTGTATAGTACCAACTTATTTCTCTTATTATTGTTGTGTCCATTGTAACGATCTAAAGTAGTTTTCACAATGTCAGTCTAACTTTGCAGAGAGAGTGTGCCTGGAACATCCTCATCACAGCTTGCCTGTCATCATTGCGTTAACCCACGCCCATGCTGATGATGACATTCTCAAGACCAGTAGTAAGAAGCAGCGATGTGAAGTCATTGAAGAGGTGAGTGAATGAGTCTTTAACTACACCTGCATCTTCTTAATATTCTTGTTAGTCTTCAGTGAATATTTTAACGTTGTTTAAAAATTGAGTTGCATATATTTTTGTGTTTGTTGTTGTGTTGTATGATTAACTTTGAGCTTTTATCTCTGTTTAGCAAAACTAATTTTTTGTAAGCCTTGGGGATTTATTTCTAATTGAAATGTTTACAGCAAATTACATTAAAATTAAAATTAAAATGTTATTTCTAGAAAAATATTAAAATGGTTATAAAAAAGTTAAGTGACATGGATTACAAGATTAATGAAAAGCCATTGATTTTGCAGAGCATGTCAGGCATTTTAGTACAATGCCTTCCAGTTAGGACTCATAACTACTTAACCATTAAACTGTCAAAAGTCCTAAATTATACGCTTATGTGGTGTTCCAGTTTTTTTTTTTTTTAATATTTATTTTCTGAAGATAAAGACATCAAAAATTCAAAATTTGATGTGATACAGTAGACCATTGATTAAGACTCTATCTTATAAGGCATATCCGATATGTCCCATCTAAAGGGGACAAAAAGATACAAAACATCCAGGCCATGGGAAAACCTGGGTAGCCACAGCCACTCAAGAGGGAGAGGTTTTTTAGTGCCAGGAAGGAAAAAAAACTGGCAGGAAATGGCAGAAATCGTACACCAAATCCAGTCATTCCTGGAATGGAACCACAGTCGATGGCCTCCACTCCAAACCAACAGATACAGATACTAATGCCGGAAAAAAATCCCCCCCCAGTACCAACAATACCACCAGTCCGATAACATTCTTCTTTGCAAATATACAGGGTCTAAAGCCAGCAACAAACAACAAAATACCTTTCATCCGTGGACTGCTTGCAGAGGCAAAGGCAATGTTCGCGGCTTTCACTGAGACCCACATAAAGGATCACTTGGACAACGGAATATGGATTCCAGGTTACAACCTATACAGATGTGACAGAGTGAACAGGCAAAAGGGGGGGGTTGGCCTGTACATTGCAGAGTCACTCGTTTGCACAGAACTGCTTAATGCCTCAAATGATGTAGTGGAAGTTTTAGCAGTAAAGGTCGAGAACCAAAACCTAGTCATTGTGGTAGTCTACAAGCCCCCGGGATGCAACATCCCAGCAATTCCAGGAACAGCTTTTTAAAAATTGTCCACTGTCTGGAAAAATCTTCCAGCTCCTGCACCCAACATCTTGCTCCTGGGGGATTTCACTTAAGGCACCTAAAATGGAGGAATATAGCAAATAATATTGTTGCAGTAATAACACCAGGAGGCAGCTCTGATGAAAACTCACACTCACACGAGCTTTTAAATCTCTGCACAAAATTCAATTTAAAACCAGCAAATAATAGAGCCTACTAGACTGGAGAATACACTAGACCTCATCTTCACTAACAATGATGATCTGATAAGAAATGTCACCATATCAAAAACAATATACTCAGATCACAACATAATTGAGGTTCAGACATGTTATGCGGTGGAGCCCCAGACCGACATAATGAGATAGTCACGAGGGAGCATTCACCAAATTCAACTTCAATAACAAAAACATAAAGTGGGACCAAGTAAACCAAGTCCTAACCGATTATAAGCTGGGAAGATATACTAAGCAACACAGACCCCAACTTATGCCTAGAACAGATTAACTCGGTGGCACTCGATGTATGCACAAGGCTTATTCCTCTAAGAAAAAGGAGGAGTAGATGTAAAATAGAAAGAGACAGGCGCTCCCTTTACAGGCGACGGAAAAGAGTAACAGAGCGGCTAAAAGAGGTCAATATATCTGAAATGCGTAGGGAGACACTGGTCAGAGAAATAGCAAGCATCGAACTTAAGCTAAAAGAATCCTTTAGGAGTCAGGAATCGCGGGAAGAACTAAAAGCCATAAATGAAATCGAAAGAAACCCAAAGTATTTCTTCTCCTATGCCAAATCAAAATCGAGAACAACGTCCAGTATTGGGCCCCTACTTAAGATGGGTCCTACACAGATGACAGACTGAGAGTCGAAGATCAAAATGAATTTTTTATGAGAGAGCCACAAAATTTGATTAACACAAGCCTATCCGATGTTATCCTGACGCCAAATGACTTCGAACAGGCGATAAATGACATGCCCATGCACTCTGCCCCAGGGCCAGACTCATGGAACTCTGTGTTCATCAAGAACTGCAAGAAGCCCCTATCACGAGCCTTTTCCATCCTATGGAGAGGGAGCATGGACACGGGGGTCGTCCCACAGTTACTAAAAACAACAGACATAGCCCCACTCCACAAAGGGGGCAGTAAAACAACAGCAAAGAACTACAGACCAATAGCACTAACATCCCATATCATAAAATCTTTGAAAAGGGTCCTAAGAAGCAAGATCACCACCCATCTAGAAACCCATCAGTTACACAACCCAGGGCAACATGGGTTTAGAACAGGTCGCTCCTGTCTGTCTCAACTATTGGATCACTACGACAAGGTCCTAAATGCACTTGAAGACAAAAAGAATGCAGATGTAATATATACAGACTTTGCAAAAGCCTTCGACAAGTGTGACCATGGCGTAATAGCGCACAAAATGCGTGCTAAAGGAATAACAGGAAAAGTCGGTTGATGGATCTATAATTTCCTCACTAACAGAACACAGAGAGTAGTCGTCAACAGAGTAAAGTCCGAGGCAGCTAGGTGAAAAGCTCTGTTCCACAAGGCACAGTACTCGCTCCCATCTTGTTTCTCATCCTCATATCCGACATAGACAAGGATGTCAGCCACAGCACCGTGTCTTCCTTTGCAGATGACACCCGAATCTGCATGACAGTGTCTTCCATTGCAGACACTGCAAGGCTCCAGGCGGACATCAACCAAATCTTTCAGTGGGCTGCAGAAAACAATATGAAGTTCAACGATGAGAAATTTCAATTACTCAGATATGGTAAACATGAGGAAATTAAATCTTCATCAGAGTACAAAACAAATTCTGGCCACAAAATAGAGCGAAACACCAACGTCAAAGACCTGGGAGTGATCATGTCGGAGGATCTCACCTTCAAGGACCATAACATTGTATCAATCGCATCTGCTAGAAAATGACAGGATGGATAATGAGAACCTTCAAAACTAGGGAGGCCAAGCCCATGATGACACTCTTCAGGTTATTGTTCTATCTAGGCTGGAATATTGCTGCACACTAACAGCACCTTTCAAGGCAGGTGAAATTGCCGACCTAGAAAATGTACAGAGAACTTTCACGGCGCGCATAACGGAGAAAAAACACCTCAATTACTGGGAGCGCTTGAGGTTCCTAAACCTGTATTCCCTGGAAACGCAGGAGGGAGAGATACATGATTATATACACCTGGAAAATCCTAGAGGGACTATTACCGAACTTGCACACGAAAATCACTCACTACGAAAGCAAAAGACTTGGCAGACGATGCACCATCCCCCCAATGAAAAGCAGGGGTGTCACTAGCACGTTAAGAGACCATACAATAAGTGTCAGGGGCCCGAGACTGTTCAACTGCCTCCCAGCACACATAAGGGGGATTACCAACAGACCCCTGGCAGTCTTCAAGCTGGCACTGGACAAGCACCTAAAGTCAGTTCCTGATCAGCTGGGCTGTGGCTCGTACGTTGGTTTGCATGCAGCCAGCAGCAACAGCCTGGTTGATCAGGCTCTGATCCACCAGGAAGCCTGGTCACAGACCGGGCTGCGGGGGCGTTGAACCCCGGAACTCTCTCCAGGTAAACTTCAGGTATGACAGTTATAAAGTTGTGGCATTTTTTTATTGTGACTCTGTGAAATTTATGACTGCAACCTTATGGCAAAATTTTTGAACATCACAGAACTGGATTGTGGGTACTTTTCTCTCTGTATTGTGGTCTCTCAGGCAGGCAGCCTGTGGGTCAGGCCATTGTCTTTGTGGGGAAGGCCTAGTAACCTCCCTCATCCCACCTCTCAAGTCTCAGTGCTGCATGCATACACATCCCATACTATACTCAGCTCTGTGCTTATAATTTTATTTTTTATGTTTTCATCATCATATCTTGTATCAGCACAGTAACCATGGCACTAAGAGGAATGTAAGTGATGCTACAAGTGGCAACAAACAGTATAAATGTTCAAGCTTTGGTGTTATGAAAACAGTTGAGGTGTTAGATAAGCTTAAAAGTGATTATGTGTGGTGGAGATGACAAGAACTTATGGACTTAATGAAACATCAGTTCACTCAGTTAAAAAGAATCAGACAAGTATATAAGATTGTGTAATGAGTAGCCCAGGTTGTGGCCTCCTGAATGACACCTAGGTCACAACAGCTAAATAAGACAGAAAAGTTGTTGATTGAGTGAACTGAATGAAAAGCCATGTTAATAAGAGAAAAAGTCTTTTAGTATTATAAAACAGTGTGTGATGAGGAAGGATGGCCTGAACAAGAATGTGTGTTTATCACTGGCTTGTTCCAGTGGTTCACGTTGAGTAATAGGTTGCATAATATTAAATTTTCTGGTGAAAGTGCTTCAGCCTACAACAGCTTTTGAAAATCTCCCATCCAAATTGCTGGAAATTATTTCCAAGTGCTTAATGCTGATGAAACAAATCTTCATTGGAAAATAATGGCAGCAAGAACTTTAAAGTGCAAGCACTGTACTTCCCATCTCCAGGACTCAGGTCCGGCCTGCCGGTTTCCCTGAATCCCTTCATAAATATTACCTTGCTTATACTCCAAGAACATGTCAAATCCTAAAAACCATTTGCTTCCTTTCACTCAAACAACATGTCAAATCCTAAAAACCATTTGCTTCCTTTCACTCCAATCTAACTAGGTCAAGCATGCTTGCTGGAAGTCCAAGCCCCTCGTACATAAAACCTCATTTACCCTCTCCCTCCAGCTTTTCCTAGGCCGACCTCCACCTCACCTTCCCCCCACTACAGATTTATATGCTCTTGAAGTCATTCTATTTCGTTCTATCCTCTCTACATGTCCAAACCATCTCAACAACCTCTCCTCAGTCCTCAGTGGGATTGCCAAAACTATTGTTTTGGCAATCCCACACCTCCTCCTGAGTTCCAAACTACAAATTCTCTGCATTATATTCACGCCACACACATTGCCCTCAGACACGACATCTCCACTGCCTCCAGCTTTCTCCTTGTTGCAACATTCACCACCCATGCTTCACACCCAGGTTTTTATATACATTTGAAAGTAAAAAAGGCTATGATTCACTTTACAGCAATTTTTTATTTACAGTAGTAGCCCAGAACCTAACATGCTGTATAAGTGGTGCCTGCCTGTATGTAAAAGACTTTATTATTGAAGAATGGTTAAAGATTGGAGAGAGTTCAGTTATGTCGACAAAATCTCAGCAAATGTAAACTAAATAATTAAGTATATAGAACACACCTTCAGAAAATGGTACGTTGATTTAATGCTCCTCAATTTACCGCACTTTGGAAATATGGGACATTGTAAATTATGTCAGTTGATTTGTTAACAGTGGATAGTGCCCATTGGTTGCAGAATTGTTGGTTGTTACAATCGCAAGAGAACAGCCTTGCTTTTGTCCACCACAGTAGCTATTACTAGACACCTGCTTCCTCCTAGTAGTTTGTTAAATTTAGGGTTTAACTCTTAAAAGAATTAGTGGATTTTAAATAATTTTGCTGATGTAATACTGTAAATAATTATTTCATTTACTTTTCAGTTAGTATAATTCAGTTAATTTTTATCATTTGACTGTTTTAGGATCGTGTAAAGGCTGCCAAGATACTGGTAAACTCTCTGAAGAAGACAGTCATTGCCAACCATGTGGCAGAGTTTGAGAAAGTTTCTCTGGCCTACCTCACCCTGGCTAATTGGTTCGATAACTCAAAGCACTCGGCCGGAGATAAGGTAATGTGCTCAGTATGTTTAGAAAGACTGACATTTTTACTCTCCACTTTGGGGTCCTTTATGTTCCATTGTGTTTATTGACATGAATCATTTTATTTATATTATAGTTGAGGCTTTTAGTGTTCATGTGGAATGATGTACAACAGTATTGTAAACACTGGTGTTGGTGTGAAATGTTGTACAACAGTATTGAACACTCTGGTACTAGTGTGAAATGTTGTACAACAGTATTGAACACTCTGGTACTAGTGTGAAATGTTGTACAACAGTTAATTTGATTTTAACAATGACCTCTGGTACTAGTGTGGAATGTTGTACAACAGTATTGAACACTCTGGTACTAGTGTGGAATGTTGTACAACAGTATTGAACACTCTGGTACTAGTGTGGAATGTTGTACAACAGTATTGAACACTCTGGTACTAGTGTGGAATGTTGTACAACAGTAATGAACACTCTGGTACTAGTGTGGAATGTTGTACAACAGTATTGAACACTGGTGTTAGAAGTGCACAGTGACCTTCTAGGTAAATGCATTTTGTAAATCTTAATAATTTTTTCCTTTATAAATTACTTGATTTGATTTTTGTTGTATCATGTTATGTATCTAGATCTATGAAGCGTTGCCCAGCGAGAAAGAATAAACACTATCACGACCAAGATCCACAAATGACTTCATTTTGTAATGTTTTATCTGTTTGTGGGAATATGTAGATATTATAATGTGCATCTGTAAATTAGGCACAGAACCCCATAACATAGAGCTTTATAGCTCTAATCAGTGTTTTTTAGAGACTAGACGCGTATTCCTGATGATCAAGAGAGAAAGTTGTGCTAGTATTCTGCTCCTAGGATGTAAATAAAATAAGGAAGCACACAAGGTGTTAACTACTGAATTAATTGTGGCTGTTTTAAACATCACTACAGTTTACTATGTTATTAGTTAGTGGCTTTATGCCAGATTTTAGGAATACCTAAATACCTTAGAGAGAAATTATTAATATAAGATACTCATAGGAAAGCACTAAACCTGTAGGGGTGAGACATTGCAGAAAATAGGAAGTACCGTCAGTAGGCTATATACATAATAAAGGTAAACAGTCATAATTCATTGCATCAAGACCCTTTCAGGGTTGGTGCCGTAATAGTACGGCTTGCGAACCAGGGTTGGTGCCGTACTAGTACGCATAAATTCTAGTGGTCTCAAATTAAGCAGGAAACAGCTGGTAGGCCTAGATGTGAGAGAATGGGTTTGCATGGTCAGTGTGTGCACTAGGAAAAATCGGGCACCCATTGGCGCATTGTGGGAACGCCATTTTAGTACACCTTGTTCACCATGCCTCGCGGTAAGAAACACCTCACTCCAGTGACAGTTCTAATACAGATGGAAGTGTCAGTGAAGATAACTTTCAAGGTTTTCATGAGGTTGTGACCAAAACTAATAACCATAATACTAGTAATAGTGAGGAAAATCCAGATGACCCTCAGCCTTCCACCTCTGGTGCTGGGCACTCTTGTTCACATTCAGTTGTACCGGAACAAAAGAGGAAACTCATATTTTCCCACATCCAGGACTCAGATGTGAGCAGTGGTGATGATAGTGATAGTGAATATGAACTCCAAGCTCTTGAAAACAGTTCTAGTAGCAAGAGTGAAGTGGAATATTCTCCAGTGAAGCGTCAGTATATACAACAGTATATGCGCTCAGGTAGGGTGCCATATGCTATTCCAAGGGTAAGGAGTACATCTCGGAGTACATCCCATGGCCGTACAACAGGCACAAATAGTGAAAATAAAGATGGTAGTGTTGCAGTTGGGTTGAGAAATGTGGATGTGGCAGCAGATGGTACTGGTTATAGTGGGGCCAGCCGTGTGGCACCAGCAGTGGGCCATGCTGGTACCCACACTGCTGAGTCAGCTCAGCTACAACAAAGACCACCCTCACCCACCCAACCACCCCCCACCCCAACCTGCACCCCAACCTCCACAACCACAACCTCCACAGCCACCTGTCAATATCCAGTATCCACCATCAGACCACACCTGAGATTGGCAGGCAACATTTAGTGTGCCCAAGAGTGATTATTATTACATAATAGAGAGATGTACTCATGGAGAATGTAAACAAACCGGGTGGCCCGTGCCATATTTGAAAGACCACTTGCCATGTTAGTGGAACGCCGTAAGGCGAAACGCCAAAAAGCGGGGCCCTGCTGTATCTGAAACAGAAATTCAGTTTGTATTTTTATTCCTTCAGGAAGCTTGTTATTGATGAGTCTTTGATTCTGTTCAAGGGAAGACTGTTGTTCAAGCAGTATGTACCAAGCAAGAGGAAGCACTTTGGTATAAAGTTGTTTGTGCTTTGTGACTGCTACAGTGGTCTTGTACTAGTGAGTATAATGTTAGCTGGTCTGTACTAGTGAGTATAATGTTAGCTGGTCTGTACTAGTGAGTATAATGTTAGCTGGTCTGTACTAGTGAGTATAATGTTAGCTGGTCTGTACTAGTGAGTGTAATGTTAACTGGTCTGTACTAGTGAGTATAATGTTAGCTGGTCTGTACTAGTGAGTGTAATGTTAACTGGTCTGTACTAATGAGTATAATGTTAACTAGTCTGCACTAGTGAGTATAATGTTAACTGGTCTGTACTAGTGAGTGTAATGTTAACTGGTCTGTACTAGTGAGTATAATGTTAACTGGTCTCCACTAGTATAATGTTAACTGGTCTCCACTAGTGAGTATAATGTTAACTGGTCTGTACTAGTGAGTATAATGTTAACTGGTCTGTACTAGTGAGTATAATGTTAACTGGTCTCCACTAGTATAATGTTAACTGGTCTCCACTAGTGAGTATAATGTTAACTGGTCTCCACTAGTGAGTATAATGTTAACTGGTCTCCACTAGTATAATGTTAACTGGTCTCCACTAGTATAATGTTAACTGGTCTGTACTAGTGAGTATAATGTTAACTGGTCTCCACTAGTATAATGTTAACTGGTCTCCACTAGTGAGTATAATGTTAACTGGTCTCCACTAGTAAGTATAATGTTAACTGGTCTCCACTAGTATAATGTTAACTGGTCTCTACTAGTGAGTATAATGTTAACTTGTCTCCACTAGTGAGTATAATGTTAACTGGTCTCCACTAGTATAATGTTAACTGGTCTCCACTAGTGAGTATAATGTTAACTGGTCTCCACTAGTGAGTATAATGTTAACTGGTCTCCACTAGTGAGTATAATGTTAAATGGTCTCCACTAGTGAGTATAATGTTAACTAGTCTGCACTAGTGAGTATAATGTTAACTGGTCTGTACTAGTGAGTATAATGTTAACTAGTCTTCACTAGTGAGTATAATGTTAACTAATCTACACTAGTGAGTATAATGTTAACTGGTGTGCACTAGTAAGTATAATGTTAACTGGTGTGCACTAGTGAGTATAATGTTAACTGGTGTGCACTAGTGAGTATAATGTTAACTGGTGTGCACTAGTGAGTATAATGTTAACTGGTCTGCACTAGTATAATGTTAACTGGTCTGTACTAGTGAGTATAATGTTAACTAGTCTGCACTAGTGAGTATAATGTTAGTCTGCACTAGTGAGTATAATGTTAACTAGTCTGCACTAGTGAGTATAATGTTAACTAGTCTGCACTAGTGAGTATAATGTTAACTAGTCTGCACTAGTGAGTATAATGTTAACTAGTCTGCACTAGTGAGTATAATGAGACCTGCTGGGTCTAACACTTCTTCAGTAATTTGACCAAAATCACTAATGTGTCTTACACTGGGTATTTCTTCACTCTCATGTACACTATACATCCTGCAAGGTGTATAGTGTACATGAGAGTATCAGTTGTACACAGTACTGTACAACATACAAGGTGTATAGGCTAGAGTATCAGCTGTACATGGTACAGTACAATGTACGTTGTACCTAGGTGAGCATAACTTAGGTGAGCATAACCTGGGTGAGGATAACCGAGGTCAACATAACCCAAGTGAGGATAACCTAGGTGAGGATAACTTAAGTGAGCATTTCTTAGGTGAGGATTACCTAGGTGAGCATAACCTAGGTGAGGATAACGAGGTCAACAGAACCTAGGTGAGGATAACCTAGGTGTGCATATTGTAGGTAAACATATCATTGGTGATTTAGGGGAAGCATAATCCTGTGGTTTCTGTGTGTCATAAGAGGCGATACAGTACAGCCCTGCTTTATAGCATTTCACTAATACGGACATTTCAAATAATGACCAAAACTTTCTATATAGTTCTCCCCACTTGATTTTCTGATACAGTCACCATGGGTCACCCTGTTTGTTTACACTTTCCGTGAGCTCTGTGAGCACGTCTCTCCATTATGTCTGGAAACTTTCCAGAATTTCAAGTTACTTCATATTTTATATATACAGCCTCTCCTCACTTATCGACGTACTTGTTTACTAGCTGCTCTGACTTACGACGGGCTCTCTGACCATTATGAATACTTACTGTATAAGAACATAAGAACATAAGAAAGAAGGAACACTGCAACAGGCCTACTGACCCATGTGAAGCAGGTCCATGCCACCCCCTGACCTAGAACAATGGCCACCTAGTCAGGTCACTTCCACTTAAGGAAGGAGCACGGCACCAGACCTGGTAGCCCAAGCTAGTCAGGTCCAACTCACACTCACCCACATCCACTCATGTATTTATCCAGCCTATTTTTAAAACTACACAATGTCTTAGCGTCTATGACTAAAAATGTTATAAATCTTGCAAAGGTGACATTAAAACAATATCAGAGATGGTTAACACAAACCACTATAGTATGCTCCTTGTTTAGGGACAAATTCGTTTACCAACGTGGTCTTAGAATCAGAACTTCATCGTTAAGTGAGGAGAGGCTGTATCCTGATAATTATACTCATGTGTACCTGTACCTAAATAAACTTACACACTGTGCTTGCATGCAGATACATGTTTTTTCAATCATGTTGGAATGTCAGAAAGAATATTGTTTTCTCTAGTTCAATACCAAAGAAAATGTGTACACAACAGTCACACCACTGGAGTGGTAATAGTATTGTGTATGCCTTCACTCAGGGCTTCATTCCTTCTAAAAATGGTGTGTTACATGAAAATAGGAGTGTTGCTCTTTATTTATTCTACTGTACCAACAGGGAGACAACTTGTACACAATATAAGGTATTTGTATTATGGTATAAGCTTCACAAACATGGAAATGAATGTGTATGAACCATAACCAGATGCATTCGTCTGCTTGTTTACTTACTCTGTGGCTCTGCCCTCTTTCATTTACTCGTTCTCTCTATTCGCATTTATCTCGTTTATTCACCTCTCACCTTACATAAGACTACAGATATTTTAAGGTACGTAATGAGTGTACTGAATGTGCATTTTATTGCTCTATGGTGCTTTAAATGTATATTACGTGTGGGTGGGGTAGCCATACCTACCACACCTGACCTCTTACAAATAATACTCACCTCTCACCCTACATTAAGACTACAAATATTATGAGGTAAGTAATGAGTGTACTGTGTGTGTATTTTACTTTTTATTGATTTTTAATGCCTAGTTCTATTCCTAACTTAATACATGTTAGTGTAAACTAGTGGCGTTCTGCTTTCTGGCGATGTCCACTTTCCGGAGGTAACCTGGATCCTAACCTGCCATATAATTGGGGCTTACTGAATATGATGCTATTGGCTTTGTTGGCCTGGTGGCTAAAGTTCTCGCTTCACATGGTGTGGGCCTGGGTTCGATTCCCAGCCAGGGTAGAAACATTGGGCATATTTCTTTACACCTGTTGTCTATGTTCACCCATCAGCAAAATGGGTACCTGGGTGTTAATTTGCCCGAAATGGTCAGCATAACGAGTGGCTTTCTGTATAGTATTATGTCATTGATGTCAGCTAAGCCTGTATACCTTGTACCTGTACTTGTAGTAAATAAAGATATTATTATTATGTTGCCACCCCCCACCCTACCCTGCCCTGCCCCACCCCACCATGCTCTGCCCTACCCTGCCCTAGACCACCCTGCCTGCCCCACCCTGCCCTGCCCCACCCTGCCCTGCCACACCTTGCCCTGCCACACCCTGCCCTGCTGCAACCTGCCCTGTCCCATCACACCCTGCCCTGTCCTGTCCCACTCTGTCCCACTACACACTGCCATGCCCTGCCTTCCCTCCCCTCCCTTCCCATTGCAACTCAAGCTGCATTTCGGTTAAGTGTTTGCCATGCTTTTGGTGGAAATGGCCAGCTGTGTCAACAAAACAATGCTTGCTATTATTATTAAGGGCTTGGACCTGGCAAGAGCAAGAACACCACCAGTCGATCCCACAGTCTGGCTGCGGATCCTCCTAACAATGCTGCTGGTAGGAATGGCCAGCTGTGTCAACAAAACAATGCTGCTGGTAGGAATGGCCAGCTGTGTCAACAAAACAATGCTGCTGGTAGGAATGGCCAACTGTGTCAACAAAACAATGCTGCTGGTAGGAATGGCCAACTGTGTCAACAAAGCAATGCTGCTGGTAGGAATGGCCAACTGTGTCAACAAAACAATTATGCTGGCAGGAATGGCCAACTGTGTCAACAAAACAATGCTGCTGGTAGGAATGGCCAACTGTGTCAACAAAACAATTATGCTTGTAGGAATGGCCAACTGTGTCAACAAAACAATGCTGCTGGTAGGAATGGCCAACTGTGTCAACAAAACAATGCTGCTGGTAGGAATGGCCAACTGTGTCAACAAAACAATGCTGCTGGTAGGAATGGCCAACTGTGTCAACAAAATAATTATGCTGGTAGGAATGGCCAACTGTGTCAACAAAACAATGCTGCTGGTAGGAATGGCCAACTGTGTCAACAAAACAATGCTGCTGGTAGGAATGGCCAACTGTGTCAACGAAACAATGCTGCTGGTAGGAATGGCCAACTGTGTCAACAAAACAATGCTGCTGGTAGGAATGGCCAACTGTGTCAACGAAACAATGCTGCTGGTAGGAATGGCCAACTGTGTCAACAAAACAATGCTGCTGGTAGGAATGGCCAACTGTGTCAACAAAACAATGCTGCTGGTAGGAATGGCCAACTGTGTCAACAAAACAATGCTGCTGGTAGGAATGGCCAACTGTGTCAACAAAACAATGCTGCTGGTAGGAATGGCCAACTGTGTCAACAAAGCAATGCTGCTGGTAGGAATGGCCAACTGTGTCAACAAAACAATTATGCTGGCAGGAATGGCCAACTGTGTCAACAAAACAATGCTGCTGGTAGGAATGGCCAACTGTGTCAACAAAACAATGCTGCTGGTAGGAATGGCCAACTGTGTCAACAAAACAATTATGCTTGTAGGAATGGCCAACTGTGTCAACAAAACAATGCTGCTGGTAGGAATGGCCAACTGTGTCAACAAAACAATGCTGCTGGTAGGAATGGCCAGCTGTGTCAACAAAACAATGCTGCTGGTAGGAATGGCCAACTGTGTCAACAAAACAATTATGCTGGTAGGAATGGCCAACTGTGTCAACAAAACAATGCTGCTGGTAGGAATGGCCAACTGTGTCAACAAAACAATTATGCTGGTAGGAATGGCCAACTGTGTCAACAAAACAATGCTGCTGGTAGGAATGGCCAACTGTGTCAACAAAACAATTATGCTGGTAGGAATGGCCAACTGTGTCAACAAAACAATTATGCTGGCAGGAATGGCCAACTGTGTCAACAAAACAATGCTGCTGGTAGGAATGGCCAACTGTGTCAACAAAACAATGCTGCTGGTAGGAATGGCCAACTGTGTCAACAAAACAATGCTGCTGGTAGGAATGGCCAACTGTGTCAACAAAACAATGCTGCTGGTAGGAATGGCCAACTGTGTCAACAAAACAATTATGCTGGCAGGAATGGCCAACTGTGTCAACAAAACAATGCTGCTGGTAGGAATGGCCAACTGTGTCAACAAAACAATGCTGCTGGTAGGAATGGCCAACTGTGTCAACAAAACAATTATGCTGGTAGGAATGGCCAACTGTGTCAACAAAACAATGCTGCTGGTAGGAATGGCCAACTGTGTCAACAAAACAATGCTGCTGGTAGGAATGGACAACTGTGTCAACAAAACAATGCTGCTGGTAGGAATGGCCAACTGTGTCAACAAAACAATTATGCTGGTAGGAATGGCCAACTGTGTCAACAAAACAATGCTGCTGGTAGGAATGGCCAACTGTGTCAACAAAACAATTATGCTGGTAGGAATGGCCAACTGTGTCAACAAAACAATGCTGCTGGTAGGAATGGCCAACTGTGTCAACAAAACAATGCTGCTGGTAGGAATGGCCAACTGTGTCAACAAAACAATTATGCTGGTAGGAATGGCCAACTGTGTCAACAAAACAATGCTGCTGGTAGGAATGGCCAACTGTGTCAACAAAACAATGCTGCTGGTAGGAATGGCCAACTGTGTCAACAAAACAATTATGCTGGTAGGAATGGCCAACTGTGTCAACAAAACAATGCTGCTGGTAGGAATGGCCAACTGTGTCAACAAAACAATGCTGCTGGTAGAAATGGCCAACTGTGTCAACAAAACAATGCTGCTGGTAGGAATGGCCAACTGTGTCAACAAAACAATTATGCTGGTAGGAATGGCCAACTGTGTCAACAAAACAATGCTGCTGGTAGGAATGGCCAACTGTGTCAACAAAACAATGCTGCTGGTAGGAATGGCCAACTGTGTCAACAAAACAATGCTGCTGGTAGGAATGGCCAACTGTGTCAACAAAACAATTATGCTGGTAGGAATGGCCAACTGTGTCAACAAAACAATGCTGCTGGTAGGAATGGCCAACTGTGTCAAAACAATGCTGCTGGTAGGAATGGCCAACTGTGTCAACAAAACAATGCTGCTGGTAGGAATGGCCAACTGTGTCAACAAAACAATGCTGCTGGTAGGAATGGCCAACTGTGTCAACAAAACAATGCTGCTGGTAGGAATGGCCAACTGTGTCAACAAAACAATGCTGCTGGTAGGATGGCCAACTGTGTCAACAAAACTATGCTGCTGGTAGGAATGGCCAACTGTGTCAACAAAACAATGCTGCTGGTAGGAATGGCCAACTGTGTCAACAAAACAATGCAGACAGTAAAACATTCTATCCATTATTTTTACATTAAATATTTTTTATTCATTGATACTGAATTAAGTTTTTTATTTTCTTCCCTACTGAATACACAGGTAACCATACCCAGCAGCCAGCCATTACTTACTGTGCGCAACCTGAAGTACACAGCTGCCTTGACCCGCCCATTGAGACTGCAGCCCTCCGCTTGCTATGACCCTCCGCTTATTGTTGGCTGGGATACTTCCTGTTCTTTTGTTGGGGGTATTAATGCCCCAAAACGACTAACACTGAAAACATCTGATGGACTGAAGCAGTTTGAACTCCTGAAGGGAAACGATGATATTAGGCAAGATGCAGTGATGGAACAGGTAAGACATTAGGCAAGATGCAGTGATGGAACAGGTAAGACATTAGGCAAGATATAGTGATGGAACAGGTAAGACATTAGGCAAGATGCAGTGATGGAACAGGTAAGACATTAGGCAAGATGCAGTGATGGAACAGGTAAGACATTAGGCAAGATGCAGTGATGGAACAGTAAGACAGGCAAGATACACTACCTTACAGAATACTCCATTTGACTGAATTTACAGCAATGCATGCAACCATATGACCTGTCTTTGTAATACTCATTTGTGCTTTATTGTTATCTGTTTACAATAATGTTTTATCACTGATTACATCATTGCTTAGTTAATCTTAAGTTAATTTTAAGCCAGCCCATAATGCTATGCATACAAGTGGCTTTGGCATGCTGCTCTAACCTGTATTTTTTTGTACCTCTGTATGTATGTATGTTCAAATTACTAAATAAATAAATAAATAAATAAATGGAACATGTAAGACAAGCAAGATGCCATGATAAACCAGGTAAGACAGGCAAGATGCTGTGATAAACCAGGTAAGACAGGCAAGATGCTGTGATAAACCAGGTAAGACAGGCAAGATGCAGTGATGGAACAGATAAGACAGGCAAGATGCAGTGATGGAACAGGGAAGATGCAGTGTTAAACCAGGTAAGACAGGCAAGATGCTGTGATAAACCAGGTAAGACAGGCAAGATGCAGTGATGGAACAGATAAGACAGGCAAGATGCAGTGATGGAACAGGTAAGACAGGCAAGATGCAGTGATGGAACAGGTAAGACAGGCAAGATGCAGTGATGGAACAGGTAAAACAGGCAAGATGCAGTGATGGAACAGGCAAGATGCAGTGAAGGAAGAAGTAAGACAGGCAAGATGCAGTGATGGAACAGGTAAAACAGGCAAGATGCAGTGATAGACTGGGTAAGACAAGCAAGATGCAGTGATGGAACAGGTAAAACAGGCAAGATGCAGTGATGGAACAGGTAAAACAGGCAAGATGCAGTGATGGAACAGGTAAAACAGGCAAGATGCAGTGATGGAACAGATAAGACAGGCAAGATGCAGTGATGGAAGAAGTAAGACAGGCAAGATGCAGTGATGGAACAGGTAAAACAGGCAAGATGCAGTGATAGACTGGGTAAGACAAGCAAGATGCAGTGATGGAAGAGGTAAGACAGGCAAGATGCAGTGATGGAACAGGTAAGACAGGCAAGATGCAGTGATGGAACAGGTAAGACAGGCAAGATGCAGTGATGGAACAGGTAAGACAAGCAAGATGCAGTGATGGAACAGGTAAGACAGGCAAGATGCAGTGATGGAACAGGTAAAACAGGCAAGATGCAGTGATGGAACAGGTAAGACAAGCAAGATGCAGTGATGGAACAGGTAAAACAGGCAAGATGCAGTGATGGAACAGGTAAAACAGGCAAGATGCAGTGATGGAAGAGGTAAGACAAGCAAGATGCAGTGATGGAACAGGTAAGACAGGCAAGATGCAGTGATGGAACAGGTAAGACAGGCAAGATGCAGTGATGGAACAGGTAAAAAAAACAGGCAAGATGCAGTGATGGAACAGGTAAGACAGGCAAGATGCAGTGATGGAACAGGTAAGACAGGCAAGATGCAGTGATGGAACAGGTAAGACAAGCAAGATGCAGTGATGGAACAGGTAAAACAGGCAAGATGCAGTGATGGAAGAGGTAAGACAGGCAAGATGCAGTGATGGAAGAGGTAAGACAGGCAAGATGCAGTGATGGAACAGGTAAGACAGGCAAGATGCAGTGATGGAACAGGTAAGACAAGCAAGATGCAGTGATGGAACAGGTAAAACAGGCAAGATGCAGTGATGGAACAGGTAAAACAGGCAAGATGCAGTGATGGAACAGGTAAGACAAGCAAGATGCAGTGATGGAACAGGTAAGACAGGCAAGATGCAATGATGGAACAGGTAAGACAAGCAAGATGCAGTGATGGAACAGGTAAGACAAGCAAGATGCAGTGATGGAACAGGTAAGACAAGCAAGATGCAGTGATGGAACAGGTAAGACAGGCAAGATGCAGTGATGGAACAGGTAAGACAAGCAAAATGCAGTGATGGAACAGGTAAGACAAGCAAGATGCAGTGATGGAACAGGTAAGACAAGCAAGATGCAGTGATGGAACAGGTAAGACAAGCAAGATGCAGTGATGGAACAGGTAAGACAAGCAAGATGCAGTGATGGAACAGGTAAGACAGGCAAGATGCAGTGATGGAACAGGTAAGACAAGCAAGATGCAGTGATGGAAACAGGTAAGACAGGCAAGATGCAGTGATGGAACAGGTAAAACAGGCAAGATGCAGTGATGGAACAGGTAAAACAGGCAAGATGCAGTGATGGAAGAGGTAAGACAGGCAAGATGCAGTGATGGAACAGGTAAGACAGGCAAGATGCAGTGATGGAACAGGTAAGACAAGCAAGATGCAGTGATGGAACAGGTAAAACAGGCAAGATGCAGTGATGGAACAGGTAAAACAGGCAAGATGCAGTGATGGAACAGGTAAGACAAGCAAGATGCAGTGATGGAACAGGTAAGACAGGCAAGATGCAGTGATGGAACAGGTAAGACAAGCAAGATGCAGTGATGGAACAGGTAAGACAAGCAAGATGCAGTGATGGAACAGGTAAGACAAGCAAGATGCAGTGATGGAACAGGTAAGACAAGCAAGATGCAGTGATGGAACAGGTAAGACAAGCAAGATGCAGTGATGGAACAGGTAAGACAAGCAAGATGCAGTGATGGAACAGGTAAAACAGGCAAGATGCAGTGATGGAACAGGTAAAACAGGCAAGATGCAGTGATGGAACAGGTAAAACAGGCAAGTTGCAGTGATGGAACAGGTAAAACAGGCAAGATGCAGTGATGGAACAGGTAAAACAGGCAAGATGCAGTGATGGAACAGGTAAAACAGGCAAGATGCAGTGATGGAACAGGTAAGACAAGCAAGATGCAGTGATGGAACAGGTAAAACAGGCAAGATGCAGTGATGGAACAGGTAAAACAGGCAAGATGCAGTGATGGAACAGGTAAAACAGGCAAGATGCAGTGATGGAACAGGTAAAACAGGCAAGATGCAGTGATGGAACAGGTAAGACAAGCAAGATGCAGTGATGGAACAGGTAAAAAAAACAGGCAAGATGCAGTGATGGAACAGGTAAAACAGGCAAGATGCAGTGATGGAACAGGTAAGACATTGTCACATTGAAGCACCCTTTGTCTTTACATCATAACCCTTTGACTGTCGCGGCCATATATATACGTTTTACGAGGTGCCGTGTTTGACGTATATATACTCATAAATTCTAGCGGCTTCAAATCAAGCAGGAGAAAGCTGGTAGGCCCACATGTGAGAGAATGGGTCTGTGTGGTCAGTGTGCACCATATAAAAAAAATCCTGGAGCACGCAGTGCATAATGAGAAAAAAAAAACTCTGACCGTTTTTTTTAATTAAAATGCCGACTTTGTGGTCTATTTTCGTATAGTATTTATGGTTGTATTCTCGTTTTCTTGGTCTCATTTGATAGAATGGAAAACATATTACAGAAATAGAGGTGATTTTGATTGATTTTACTATAAAAAGAACCTAGAAATGGAGCTCAAAGTAGGGGAAATGTTTGATTTTTGCCAATGTTCAAAAGTAAACAAATGATGCCATTGTCCAATAAATGTCCAACTAGCCATTCTAATATGCAGTCATGAATGGGTTGATGTTATTTATACAGTTATTACAGCATTGCAGTAGTCTGCATAATAGTAAGTCTAATATTTTTTGTTTGAATAAAAATTCAAAATAGAAAGCAAGAGTAATATCAGAAGGGCCTGGAGACGTGACTGATGAACAAAGAAAATGTTATTTTAGAGCCAGGAATGTCTGCATTGTTCATTCTGGACCTTATTTTGAAATTGTCATATTTTTTAGTTTTCGTGAAATTGGCCAAATTGCAAATTTCTGACCACATTATTAGGTAGTTGAAATCAGTAAATGGGCAGTTTCTTGTATTCAAGCGATAGAAAAAATGAAGTTCTAAAGAAATAGCTATGAGTTTGGGCGACTGGAACAATGGAATTAGCCGAAAATAGGGCTCAAAGTGGGCGAAATCGCCGATTTGTAAACAGCGCCGAGGTCGCTAACTTCGCGAGAGCATAATTCCGTCAGTTTTCCATCAAATTTCGTTTTTTTGGTGTCATTACAATCGGGAAAAGATTCTCTATCATTTCATAAGAAAAAATAATTTTTTTTTTTTAAATTTTGCGACACCAGGAGACACCTCAGGATTGGGGGTTGCGACAGTCAAAGGGTTAATGTTTACTAATAATGTTTACTGGTAATGTTTACTAGTAGAGCGATGTCTTCTATGTGTGTTAATAATGTTTACTAGTAATGTTCACTAGTAATATTTACTAGTAGAATAATGTTTTTTAGTAATGTTTACTAATAGACCTAGTTGGTAGACAGCAACCACTCAGGAAGGTACTACGTCCTGCCAAGTGAGTGTAAAACGAAAGCCTGTAATTGTTTTACGTGATGGTAGGATTGCTGGTGTCCTTTTTTCTGTCTCATAAACATGCAAGATTTCAGGTACGTCTTGCTACTTCTACTTACACTTAGGTCACACTGCACATACATGTACAAACATGTACGTATATACACACCCCTCTGGGTTTTCTTCTATTTTCTTTCTAGTTCTTGTTCTTGTCTATTTCCTCTTATCTCCATGGGGAAGTGGAATAGAATTCTTCCTCCGTAAGCCATGCATGTCATAAGAGGCGACTAAAATGCTGGGAGCAAGGGGCTAGTAACCCCTTCTCCTGTATATATTACTAAATTTAAAAGGCGAAACTTTCGTTTTTCCTTTTGGGCCACCCCACCTCGGTGGGATATGGCTGGTGCGTTGAAAGAAAGAAAAGTTTACTAATAGAATGTTTACTAGTAATGTTTAGTGTTTAATGTTTACTAGTGATGC